GAACCGTCTGACCTCTCTAACCATTGCCCTATCAGTCTCCTACCTCCTCGGCAAAGTATTCAAGGCTTTAATCAATTCTGAAGTGGTTAAACATCTTACCTCTCATGAACTACTCTATGACAAACAATATGGCTTCCGTTTTACCAGGTCTACCGCTAATATGCTTGCAGTCATCACTAAATATATTTATGAAGCTCTTGATAATAATGGCGAAGCTCAAGCTGTGACTCTAGTGATCTCGAAGACATTTGACAGGATTTGGCACGCTGGTCTTCTACGTAAGTTCCAGGGCTGTGGTATTACAAGACGATTGTTTGATTTAATCCAGTCGTTCCTATTAAATCGTGAATTGAATGTCGTTTTGAAGGGGCTCGCTTCCAGATCCTTTCACGCAAGCGAGGGTGTCTCCCAGGGCTCTATACTAGGTCCTTATCTTCATCAATGATCATCCTGATGTCATCAGTTTCCAAGTAGACATTGATGCAGATGATACTACCTTTTCTTCCTGTCTAAGTAGCAAATTCGTCAGAGCTGACAAAGTTAACCTGGTTGTTGTTCTTAAAAACGGCCTTCAATCAGTGGTTAACTGGGTAGGAAATGGCTTTTAAATTTTAATGCCTCCAAAACAAAACTGCTCTCATTTAACCACGACAGAGAAACTTCCCTGTCCGCCATCAGCATGGGTGGTGCTCGACTCCTGGAGAACGTCGCACTATGCCTTCTTGGTCTCACACTTTTAACTGACTTGAAGTGGAACAATTACATTGAATCAATAGCTGCATCTACTACAAGGAAATTTGGGTCACTGTGTCAGAAGATTGGTGGGGCATCTTGCACATTTATAAATCTACCATTTGCCCGTGCATCGAATACTGTTGTTATATTTGGTCTGGTGATCCTGATATTCATCTCCAGGTTCTTGACAAAATCCAAATAAGGATCTGCAATATAATCGATCCTGACTTGGCATCTCAACTTTCAATCACTTTCTCACAGGCGTGATGTAGCTTCTCTTTGTCTTTTCCACAAATATTTCCATAGCAACTGCTCCGACGAGCTTTTTTCCTTAGGGCCCCGACTACATGAATTTAAGCGTGCTACTAGATTGGCATCTAGGTCTCACCCTTTTACTGTTGAAATAGCTAAATGCACCTGCCACTTCTATTGCAACAGTTTCTTTTCTCACACTTTTCCCCTGTGGAACTCCCTTCCGTTTACTTCCTTCCCTAATAACTACAATCTTCAAAAATTTAAATGCAACCTTAATCGCCATCTTCTGTCGTCTTGAATCCAGTTCACCATTTATCCTTTCGTCATTCCCCTCTATACATGGTCTTTCACTTTCACACTCTGAAATCCCCTGCGTACTAGTGGCATCCCCGCCTTGCTTGGGATGAAATAATTAAAAAAAAACTTTAGGATTAACAATTATTTTTCACACAAATCCTCAAAAACTGCGACCCTTATTCTTACGCACAAACAACAAGCGCCTTCAGTAACCCTCTACCTTGAGTGGATCTTGGGCCTTGTACTGAGTGAATATTACTTGAAAAAAATTTCCCTCTTCTAATTATATTTTCTGTCCATTTTTATTATTGTTACTGTTGGAAATATTCAAGTGAGGCAGTGTTTGTTATTTGGTAAAATTCTTTCTGAATTTATGGCACAAGTCTCTAGGAATGATGGTCTTCGTTAAAACCCAAAGGATTCATTCTCTTGAAGCCGTTTTTAGTGTTTGGTCTGAGAGTAAGCAAGAATTCGGCTTTTTAAATCATTAAAGTATATATATATATATATATATATATATATATATATATATATATATATATATATATATATATATAATAACTTCAAAGGAAGATAAGACAAAAAAAAAATAAATAAATAGTGTATCAGCAGTTTGATCTTTCATCATTCATGAGATATTTCATTGAATAGAGGTTTATCCCTTGTTTCCTGTTTATACTTCTAACGTCACTGCCTAAACTCTTAAATTTTATTTATTTTCTTCCTTCCGTAGGAGTATATATTTTTTTAATAGGAGTAGAGGTTTATCCTTTGTTTCCTGTTTAGGATTGGGTTTCCGGTTCCTTCTAAAGTCTACTTCAACTTTATAATTCTAACGTCTCCACCTAAACTCTGAAATGTTCTTTTCTTCCTTCAGTAGGAGTACATAAGTTTTTTTGTTTTTCTTTTAATAGGAGTAGAGGTTTATTCGTTTAGGATTGGGTTTCCGGTTCCTTCTAAAGTCTACTTCAATTCTATACTTTTAACGTCTCTGCCTAAACTCTGAAATGTTATTTATTTATTTTCTTCCTTTAGTAGGAGTAGATAGGTTTTTGAATAGGATTAGAGGTTTATTCCTTGTTTCTTGTTTAGGATTGGCTTTCAGGTTCCTTCTCCTAAAGTCTTCTCATTTTCTTTCATCCCCAATAATCCTTGCGTCTTAGTGGCATCATCGCCTTACTTTGGATGAAATTATTAAACAAAATGGTTGCATAGTGATGATAGTTTAGGCATTTCTGAACGAATGGGACGCCATGCATGACATCCATATGACAGTCTACATTTGATGTGTCTATTTAAGGAGATGATTTTCAAGTCAGTATTTAGGCCTTGTAGTATCTTATGATGACGGACAGAACCAATTCTAATGCTCTCTATCTTGTGTTCAACTTTCTTATCTCTGAGTTTAAATTTGTTATGTGATACATGCACCGAAGTATTTCAATTCCAGATCATAGTATCCAATTTGGAAAGGTTTATCTCATGTCCTACCTTTGTTACCCAATAAAAGGCCTAAGTGTCACTCAAGGTAGAGGCTTACTCAGTGAGATTGCTGTGAAGTAAGGGGAAGGTGGCAAGAAGTGTATATTTTGAGGATATGTAACATAGATGTCGCTTGGCCGTGGACTTGAATTTCTAACGATTGTGTAGTAGTGAGGAAATCATCCTCTAAGGAGTCTGTTCGACAAAACAACAGTTCTTGGGGAAGAAGCTGTTTGAGTGTAAAACTTACTCCTTACCAAAGGAATACGAAGGAAATGAGGATGATTTGCCACCGTTAACATGGCAGGCTGAAGGGTCCTAGCTGTGAAAGTCTGAACTGGTAGGAGTAAAGAATGTTTGAAAATTTGACATGGAAATAGCGATAGAGTGGTCAGAGTCTTTCAACGTTTTGTTTGTTATAAAAAAGGTTTTAGAGTGGAGAATAATTCACCACCCACAAGGCTGCTTAGTCACACTTGAACTCTGTCGAAGCCGGACAGTGAGGACCGAGCGGTACCAGCCCATTTGGAAATCTTGATAAAGAAAGTCGATTTTTGTTTAAGATTGTTCTTATAGCAACTGTCATCAGCATAGCTCCTCTCCACAATATTATTGGTAACGTATATTCTAGAGATAAATTAAGGGCGTTGATATTGGTGTTCTAGTTAGAATCATGTTTCTGACAATTTCAGACTGACGGTAGGGAAGGAAACCGCGTGAGGTTATAGATCTAACCCTAACCTTGTCCGCAGGGGTGTAGTGATAGTTTATTACGATAACAAAAGCTACTATCGTGAGCAGTTAACACAAAAAGGATCCCAGGAACGCGCGGGTGATATCCATGTATTCTGCTAACACACGCTCACTAGATTTAGAACCCTGTTGAGCTGATATTGGATATGTTACACACTTTAGTAATATTCCCTACCGATACACGCAACAAATGTAGCTAAGGAAAGTTCTAAAATATGCTTGGATAGTAATATGCAGGCAATGTGTCCAGCACCCCATACCACGTCATGCAACCATCGAGAAAACCTACACGTTATTAGGTGAAAGTCTTTTTCATTTATAGTTATGAACAAATTGATAGATACAGAGTGGAGAGATAAATAGATGTAATAATGCGAATATCCTTGACAAAAAATCAGACTAAAATAGACTGACAGATAGGAAAAGAATTAGATAGAACATACAGGATAGATAGATACCTTGACAAATATATGAATGATAATACTTAGACAAGACTAAAATAAGATTCTGACAGATAGAGGAAAAGAATTAGATAGATAGATAGATAGATAGATAGATAGATAGATAGATAGACGAGACTCTGCCTTTCGATAGATTTGAATCCGCTCTGTTTGACCAGCACAGCTGGAACTGATAGATACATAATGAGAAATTATCGTCCATAGGTATGATAGATAGATAGATAGATAGATAGATAGATAGATAGATAGATAGATTTGACTCGACTGATAGATACATAATTAAAAGATAGATAGATAATGAAAAGAGATAGATAGATAGATAGATAGATAGATAGATAGATAGATAGATAGATACAGACAAATATTCCAACTTTAATTATTCTCTGCATTTTTTTTCAGCTCATGAGTGGGGAGACGGCCGATCCTGTTGTTCGGGAGATTGGTGGGGTCACAACGAACCAAACCAAAAGAATTCGTGCGTTCGACTGAAATCACAATCCTCGAAATGGCTGTTGTACGACTGGATGTGCCATGACATGTTTGGGTCGATTTGCGTCAAAGACAGAGGTGAGGAAATCCTGGCATTCGGTCTCTCATCAAAAAGTCACGAAACAGACACAAAAATCTTCTTTTATGGCAATCATCGATTCTCGTTAAACATTTAGCACACACACACACACACAAATGTATATATATATATATATATATATATATATATATATATATATATATATATATATATATAAGGAAGAGGTTATAGTAGTTCCAACGAGAGAAAAGTGCATATATTAAAAAGAAGAGAGAAACCGCAAACGTTTTTTTTTTTGGCTGTAAGGTTTTTGTTTTTGTTTTTTAAATATTATGCTTTATTTTGCATAATTTTGCTACACGTGTTTTCGGTCTCGCGACCGTCATCAGGCAAAGGATGAAAATTTCGCATCATTTTCCCGGTCAATACAGAACTTCAGATCTTGTCATGTACGAAATTGCGTTAATTCAAATGAAAGAGAAAATGGCTTACGGCCACATTAGGTTGAAACACCGATTCCAGTACGATCACCGAAGTTAAGCAACGTTGACTCTGGTCACTACCTTGGTAGATGATTGCTTGGGAATACCAAGTGCTGTAAACTTAGATGTGTTGGTAGTGTAATGGGGTAATGGCTCGGAATCGTCAATCGGAGAGCCGAGTTCCAATTCGAGTTGGTTCATTATATTCACTTACGCGCCAATAACCGTGAGGAAAGTATGAATCCATATCTTCTCTAAGTTATGAGTTAATACTTGCTCGAACATCCATCTATATAGACAGCAGAAAAAGAAACTTCCTGAGTGACTTACTTCTAGCCCTAAACATACGCACACAACCGCACACACATATGTATATTTATATATACATATATATATATATATATATATATATATATATGTGTGTGTGTGTGTGTGTGTGTGTGTGTGTGTGTGTGTGTGTGTGTACAGGGTGTATCAAAAGTACTTTAACAAACTTTGGGGGCGGGTTCCTCACACCAAAGGGCAAATTCTTTGTTTATTAATTTTAAGGTAGATGGCACTGTGTTGCCATGAAGACTCGATCCATAGTTTGTGTTAACAGGGATCCTGTCTCAACAATGCGATAAACAGCAGCAAAGGTTGGATGGCTTGGTTGCAATCTAATACAGCCGTGCAGCCTCGTGTCCATTACCATTCGCGCAGCCATATGTAAATATCAGATGTCTGCTCACGATACGAATATCCTGCCATTGTTAAACGGAACACTTCTCAGTTAATTCACTACCACACACGTTTAACGTTAAACGTTTGAAGACAGACTAACTACAAATGTACACGAATGACAAATGTAACTTAGTCTACATGGCAATACTGCGACATTTACCGTAAACTTCATTTAAACTCAATAACTCAAAAACGAAGAATTTGCGAAATGTGTTTATATGAACTTTTGTCTTTGTTTTGGTGTTAGAAATCACCCCCAAAGTCTGTAAAAGTAATTTTGTTACACCATGTATATGTAATAAAATATTAGCAAAATATATTTGTCCAAATAGCACTACCTCTGAGATTCATGCTTGCTTCAATGTTCAGGCAATGTTAATACGTCATTGGAACACCGCACCTGATGATTGAACTAAGTATGACACGCAGAATAATGCCGACGTATTGATGTATATTTTAGTAATATACATTTTATTATTAGTTATGAGGCAATGACACGCACCGAGCAGAAACCTTCGTTATTCTAGGTTCTTTGGGCAGAATGTTCACAACTCTCTCATGGGATCTGCTAATAGCATTGGATATTTTATTCATAGTCAATCGCCTGACAACCATAACAATGTGTTGAACACGATCAATGTTTTCCTCGATGGTGGCAGTTACAGGACGCCCAGACGTTGGGTCATCTTCAAGACCCACTCTCCACCACTTAAATTTAGCTGCCCACTTTTATACTGTTTATAAAACTGAAGCGCTGTATAAAAACCATGTCAGCATCAATGTACTTGAAGGATGTCCCTTTTGTAAAACAATACCATTTTGTCCATTTTCATCAATGTACTTGAAGGATAGACCAGTCAGATTTTGAACTGAAGAAAAAACCAAGAGTTGATAATACATGCAAGATTTTGTCCATTTTCAACAGAAACTTTTCAGCCGACCCTCGTACCTGGAAAGAAACAATGCAGTTACTTTGAAATGAATGCATGCAAGATTTCAGCACGCCTTCATAGTCAGATACGAACATTTCAGTCGTAACTGGAAAGAAACAAAAAATAAAGTTATTATCAAAGAAGGAAGACTTGAAATGAATACATAAGAAACAATGCAGTTAAATAAAAAAGTTTCAAATGCTCTAGCATTCACACGCCTTCTTCATCGTCAGACTATGAACTTTTCAGCCCACCCTCGTACCTGGAAAGAAACAATGCAGTTATTAATAAAAAGAGTTGAAATGAATACATGCAAGATTTCACAGATCAAGCATCACTCCTTCATCGTCATTCTCAGACTATGAATCACCGACCCTCGTACCTGGAAAGAAACAATGCAGTTATTAATAAAAAGATCAAATGAATGCATGCAAGATTTCACAGCTCTAGCAGCCTTCATAGAACTTTTCAGCCCTCGTACCTGGTAAGAAACAATGCAGTTATTAATAAAAAGTTGAAATGAATGCATGCAAATTTCAGTTAGCATCAATTCAAAAATTTTCAGCCGACCCTCGTAAAAAGAAACAATGCAAGATTAATAAAAAGAGTTGAAATGAATGCATGCATTTCACAGATCAAGCATCACTTCATCGTCAGACTATGAACTTTTCAGCCGACCCTCGTACCTGGAAAGAAAAAATGCAGTTATTAATAAAAGAGTTGAAATGAATACATGCAAGATTTCACAGATCTAGCATCACGCCTTCATAGTCAGCCTACGAACTTTTCAGCCGACCCTCGTACCTGGAAAGAAACAATGCAGTTATTAATAAAAAAGAGTTGAAATGAATGCATGCAAGATTTCACAGCTCTAGCATCACGCCTTCATAGTCAGCCTACGAACTTTTCAGCCGACCCTCGTACCTGGTAAGAAACAATGCAGTTATTAATAAAAATTGTTGAAATGAATACATGCAAGATTTCACAGATCAAGCATCACTCCTTCATCGTCAGACTATGAACTTTTCAGCCGACCCTCGTACCTGGAAAGAAAAAATGCAGTTATTAATAAAAAGAGTTGAAATGAATACATGCAAGATTTCACAGCTCTAGCATCACGCCTTCATAGTCAGCCTACGAACTTTTCAGCCGACCCTCGTACCTGGTAAGAAACAATGCAGTTATTAATTAAAAGAGTTGAAATGAATGCATGCAAGATTTCACAGATCAAGCATCACTCCTTCATCGTCAGCCTATGAACTTTTCAGCCGACCCTCGTACCTGGAAAGAAACAATGCAGTTATTAATTAAAAGAGTTGAAATGAATGCATGCAAGATTTCACATATCAAGCATCACTCCTTCATCGTCAGACTATGAACTTTTCAGCCGACCCTCGTACCTGGAAAGAAACAATGCAGTTATTAATTAAAAGAGTTGAAATGAATGCATGCAAGATTTCACAGATCAAGCATCACTCCTTCATCGTCAGACTATGAACTTTTCAGCTCACCCTCGTACCTGGTAAGAAACAATGCAGTTATTAATAAAAAGAGTTGAAATGAATACATGCAAGATTTCACAGATCAAGCATCACTCCTTCATCGTCAGACTATGAACTTTTCAGCCGACCCTCGTACCTGGAAAGAAAAAATGCAGTTATTAATAAAAAGAGTTGAAATGAATACATGCAAGATTTCACAGCTCTAGCATCACGCCTTCATAGTCAGCCTACGAACTTTTCAGCCGACCCTCGTACCTGGTAAAGAAACAATGCAGTTATTAATTAAAAGAGTTGAAATGAATGCATGCAAGATTTCACAGATCAAGCATCACTCCTTCATCGTCAGCCTATGAACTTTTCAGCCGACCCTCGTACCTGGAAAGAAACAATGCAGTTATTAATTAAAAGAGTTGAAATGAATGCATGCAAGATTTCACAGATCAAGCATCACTCCTTCATCGTCAGACTATGAATTTTTCAGCTCACCCTCGTACCTGGTAAGAAACAATGCAGTTATTAATAAAAAGAGTTGAAATGAATGCATGCAAGATTTCACAGCTCTAGCATCACGCCTTTATAGTCAGCCTACGAACTTTTCAGCCGACCCTCGTACCTGGTAAGAAACAATGCAGTTATTAATAAAAAGTGTTGAAATGAATACATGCAAGATTTCACAGATCAAGCATCACTCCTTCATCGTCAGACTATGAACTTTTCAGCCGACCCTCGTACCTGGAAAGAAACAATGCAGTTATTAATAAAAAGAGTTGAAATGAATACATGCAAGATTTCACAGCTCTAGCATCACGCCTTCATAGTCAGCCTACGAACTTTTCAGCCGACCCTCGTACCTGGTAAGAAACAATGCAGTTATTAATTAAAAGAGTTGAAATGAATGCATGCAAGATTTCACAGATCAAGCATCACTCCTTCATCGTCAGCCTATGAACTTTTCAGCCGACCCTCGTACCTGGAAAGAAACAATGCAGTTATTAATAAAAAGAGTTGAAATGAATACATGCAAGATTTCACAGATCAAGCATCACTCCTTCATCGTCAGACTATGAATTTTCAGCTCACCCTCGTACCTGGTAAGAAACAATGCAGTTATTAATAAAAAGAGTTGAAATGAATGCATGCAATTTCACAGCTCTAGCATCACGCCTTCATTCAGCCTACGAACTTTTCAGCACCCTCACGCCTGGTTATAATAAAAAGTCAAATGAATACATGAAAGATTTCACAGATCAAGCATCCTCGTTCCGTCAGACTATGAACTTTTCAGCCGACCCTCGTACCTGGAAAAACAATGCAGTTATTAATAAAAAGTGTTGAAATGAATACATGCAAGATTTCACAGCTCTAGCATCACGCCTTCATAGTCAGCCTACGAACTTTTCAGCCGACCCTCGTACCTGGTAAGAAACAATGCAGTTATTAATAAAAAGAGTTGAAATGAATACATGCAAGATTTCACAGATCAAGCATCACTCCTTCATCGTCAGACTATGAACTTTTCAATGCAGCTTCTTACATTGAACTATTTTATTCCTTAGCCCCTAAAGTATTTGCATAATTTTTACTTATAATCTGTAATTATTAGTCATGAGACAAAGCAATTTCAGGAATGGTATCTTTCGTCATTCAGGACCGTAATACAAGTTATCGCATTCACATGGAACCGGTACAATGAGAGATAAAGACTTAAATACACCGTGATGCTGAAAAGAAGACATGCAAATGGTCTGAGAGATCAGAAGAAATATAAAATTAACTTTTATTAATGAAAGAAAAACTAAAATTACACAAAAAGATGTATTTTTATATTTAGGGACATTAAAAGATGTAGTCACTATTTGGTATGGCTTCCGTTGGCCACAAACTATCGCCTAAACTCGACATAGCATCACGGAATACAACTTAAAATTGTTTTATCAAGAACGTTCTGCCATCCCTCTTGAC